ACATTCAATACACAGTCGTACACGGGACATACTAGTTCAAACGCAGTCGTACACGAGGCATATACAGGCACAAACACAAGACCACGCATGTACAAGCACAGCTATACACGTGCTTTCGACAGTAATACACGTTCTTATACACGTTTAAACACACATCCTATACACAGCCGTGTACGTCCATAGACAACGCAAACCGGCGCAAACGCAGGACCCACGTGTGCAGACGCGTCCATACACAAAGATGACGTGTACATACACGGTCATACGTAAGAATACAGGTACAATCACAGCATTTAGACACCCGCAGACAAGACGTACAGTTGCAGACGGTAGACGTAACACGAGCAAACACGGTCATACACGTTCAAATACAAATCATACACGTGCAAACACGGTTCTACATGTTCATCCATAAATCGTACGTGTACAAACACAATCATGCGTGTCCAGACGCAAAGCACACAGGTGCAAAAACACGGTCAAACAGATTCAAACACAGTGAAACAGTTTAAACAGCGTCAAACAAATTCAAACACGGTCAAACAAATTCAAACATGGACAAACAAATTCAAAAAGCGTCAAATAGGTTCAAACGGTGTCAAATAAATTCAAACATGGTCAAACAGATTCAAACATGGTCAAACAGATTCAAACAGTGTCAAACAAATTCAAACGTGGACAAACAGATTCAAATATGCTCAAACAGATTTAAATATGGTCAAACAGATTCAAACAGCGTCAAACACGATTAAACAGATTCAAACACATTCAAACATGGTCGAACACATTCAAACACGGTCAAACACATTCAAACACGGTCAAACAGACGCAAACATGGCCAAACGCGCGCGAAAATCCCGTCGTCCTTCTTCTTCGCTTCGGGGAGCTCCCGGACGGAAATTAAGCACCGTTCCAGGTTCTGCGATTCCGCTTCCGGTTGTCGGGATCGATCGGGCCGCCCCGAGCCGTCGGCCAGCGTTTTCGGTCCCCGGGATGCACGAACAATAGCCGCGCGATCGTCGCCGCGTAACTTGATCCGAAAATGGACGAGGTGCCACCCAGGATGCCATTCTACGATCCCAATGACTGATACCGTTGTACCTTTCCTGTTGGGAGTTTCTTTGAAGGCCGCAGAGCCGTCGGTAATCTGACCGCGCCGCGGCCGATGAGAAATGCGCGCTGACGTCGCGCCGACACCCTCTTTGATCATTATCATCCCCCCCCCCTACCCCGGTGCGAGCGAGAGAGAAAGAGAGAACAAGTGCAGCCAACGTCCTGCCGCTTTACGGCAATGCCCTCCGCCTGGCGGATTCCTTTAATTATCGACGCGACTACCGATCGCCGGGTCACCGGTGACCCTTCCTGGAAGCATCCTCGCGCTACGCTGCGGCGGTGGAGGGGAGGGGGAAGCATCCCGGGCGATCACGCCGCCATTGGTCTCGGCGATCAGACACCCGGTTCTCTCGAATCTAAAAAACATTCCAAACCCGCGCGGACACGCGACATCGTGCGATATCGCGGGGGGTCTCGGCCGACCCGGTTAAATCGGAGATTCCCCGGGTCGCTTGCGCATCGATCGCACCCGCGGGCATCGACATTCCCAGAGAGAGCGGGCGGATCCGCGAATATCGCCGCGTTATTCGTGCTAATGCGCGGCCATTCGGGTCCCCGTCGACATGGCACGTCGACGGACGGGGAGCCGGGCTCGGACTGTGCGCGACCGATTTTCTATGAACGGGGCCCCGCACAGAGAAATTAGTATTTCAAGTGCCTTAACGGACGGCGACCGGCGACCGACTAATCGAGGCTCCGCCGCGGGGTCACACCTTCGGTCGGGCCGGGGGAACGGAGTGGGGGTGCGCGGACAGCCGCGGCTGGGATTCTACGCGGGTTTCGGCCGAATGTCACGTGACGTCCGTCAGCGACGTCGCCGGCGAGCGGGGTAGGGATGGAAGCTGAACGGTTGGCGACAGGGAGGTGCGTTGATGGAGCCAGTTACTGTGGGATGACGATCCGTGTTTTGGGATTGTTTTCGGCTTGTTTTATTTTGTTTAATTCTTTTTAAATAAAAAAGGCTAACTTCACGGGATAACCCATATCTTGGATTTATTTTTGGGCTTGTTTTATTTTGATTAATTCTTTTTAAATAAAAAAGGCTAACTTAACGGGATGACCCGAGTTTTGGGTTTGTTTTCGGGTTATTTTATTTTGTTTTATTCTTTTTACATAGAAAAGGCTAACTTAGAAAGATTTGCGCCACCGCCCGTTCAGCTCCCAACCGCCGCTCTACTCAACAGTGACGTCACTAATGGATCTCGCGCGACGCTCGAGAGAAATCCGAGAGGATCTCTGACTAGGCTGGGTGGGCCTCTGCGTTGTTTCGAGGAGAATTCGACGGTTCCTGTCAGTACCATGCTATTTTTGAGCAATGGTTCCCATTAATTCTGAGGCGCTAAAAATTGTGCCAAATCCAAAATCATTTTTACGCTAACAAATTCGTCGAATCACTGATGTTTAACTTGTTAACTATGCAAATATTTGTCGTTGGTACAACTATAAAAATTAGTAAAGACTATAAAAATAAGTATTTTTATAGTCTTATTAGTAAACTATATATAGTAAACTATAAAAATTTAGCAATCCAGAAAAGTAACTACAGTAAAGTTTCCCTAATTGATGCGGCGCTTGAAGACAAAAATAAACAATTTGGGTAGAGATAAGAGGAAATAGAAAATTGCGGCTCGTTTTTATAGTTGTTCACAATCGATAACTATAAATAAAAATAAGCCGCAAGGCTCGAATAACCGCGTCCCCCTCCCCTCTCAAATTGTCCATTTTTGTGCACAATCTGAGCATCAATTAGGAAGTCTTTTACTGTACAATTCTAAAAAAGAATCATACAGTTAAAAA